TGTTGAGACAGGAAAGCAGTACCCAAAGCAAGCTCGTTCCTGGCTCTTCCCCCTGCCCTCCCTGTAGCCTGTACCTCCCTGCTACCCTAAAACACACCCACCTTCACCCTCTACCTCCCTACGCCCTACACAGTCAGGAGGACTCAGCTAAGAATAACAACTCCTCAGGAAGCTCTCCTCCTGGCGAGCTCAGATGCTCTTGAATTGAGATAAAGAAACTCGGCAAGTAACCACTTGTCTTTAACTGTAAGTAAGGGAAAGCAGACCACAAACATGACCCAATAAGGAGGTGAATTACTGTCTGCCAGCAATGTTAAAAGGGCCTACGGAAGGCAAGCTTCAGGGGTGACTGCTCCACAGACTCGTCTCTCTGCCCACTTTGCCCTGCTCTACTGCTGACTTTCACAATCCCACTTGATCAGAAGGGCTGCCAGGTGAGGGAGAGCATGGCTTCTGGTGCTTCTCCTTTGTTCATGTGACCCCTGCTCCAGAAACCTCTGGAAACATCTATTTCCTCTGTCTCAAAGGCCTTGATGGGCTGCCTGAACCCTTTCCATCCCGTTCCAGGGTGAGGAGTGAGGGTGACCAAGGTTGACTGACAGTGCTTGCCACTGTCTTAGTTACTTTTCTTGTCCCTGAGACACAATCCCTGACACCCACGATTAAAGAAGGAAAGGTTTCTTTCAGCTCATAGCTTACAGGTGTTTCAGTCCATATTCAGATGGTTGCAAAGCAACGTGGCATGGCAGGGGAGCATGGCAGAGGAAAAACCATTCATGGCATAACGAGTAGAAGGCAGAAGGCAGCATGCAGCAGCATTAAACCTCTCTCTCTCTCTTTATCCTATCCAAGCTACAACACTTTTGTGTAGTGCCATTCACATCCATGGTGGGTCCTCCCATCACTCACACCCAGAACTATACTAATTCCAGTAAATGAACTAATTTAGCACCACACACCCTCAATCCCAGTATCACACTCCCTAAATCCAGCCTGTTCTGAGAAGCCCCACCTAAGTATATGAGTTCTTAGGGACAGCTAGATACAAGCCATGACACCAGTTTACGTCCCACTGCCACTCAACAAGAGATTGTAGTACAGCATTATACAGCACACTAGGGTAAGTGAATAAGGCTGCTCAGTGCACGGTCTCCCACTGCCCAAAGTCCTGCCCCGTGCCCCGGAGGCTTGAAGAATCAGTATGAGGACATCAGAAACAAAGCCCTTTCTGGCACACCAGGGGTATTTTCTGTTGGAAATCAAAGACTGTCAAGCGATGAGTCTACTGCCTATTTCTGTGAATAAAATTTTATTGGGACATAGCCATGTGTGTCCCATACATGTACTGATTGTCCTTCTTGCTACAACTGCACAACTGAGCAGTTCAACCAAGACCGTATGGCTTTACTGAAATACTTTCTAATCTCTGACTTAAACTCACTCCTGTGGAAAAATGTCAACAAGTCAACCACAATGTCCATTTTTGGAGCATCTGACACAACCTAACATTCTTCATGTGCTTATTATCTTTTTGGGTATCTGCCTCTGTAGCTAGTTCTATGTTCCCTGAGAACAATGAGTATTTTCTTTTTTTCAAAAAAAAATTCATTGTTGATACCATATCCTCCGCACTTAGTACGGGTCTGGTACACTGTGAGCACTCTATAATACATATTTCTTGGCTGAATCATTGAAATGAATGCACTCTTTAAATAACCTGCCATGTAGGGACAAAAGCAACTTTTTTTTCCTAGGATTCTCTGGCCAAAAAAGTAACATTTCAAAAACAGCATGGCAGAGCTGGGGATGAGACTCGGTAGTCAAATGCTAGCATAGCATGTGCAAGGCCCTGGATTCAATTCCCAGCCCCAGGTGTGGAAGTAGGGGGAACCCCTTGCTAAAAAAAAATAGCAAGAAAGTGACCCATAGTGCACCCTAAGAGGGGTATGAGTTTACTGACGGTAACATTTCCGAAGCCTCAGGAGTAAGATGTGCTCAGTCAGTGTCTCCTTTGAGAGGAGCTGGAAATAAACTTGGATCTTCCAAAGTGGCCGAGACAGAATGGCTGTGGCAGGCCACATGGCGCCACTGAACATGGGGCCTCCTAAAAAAGAACACTTGCCCCAGACTCATGGTGGGGCACCTTCCCAGCCTCAGGCGGGGCTCGCCAACCCTATTCTCAGTGCCCCCTCAATTTAGCTCCACCGCTGATGACTTCATTGATCCACTGAAGGTCAGCCTTGCTCCGGAAACAAACCTTCAAGGAAGGAAATGCAAGAAGATAGGTGGGGGCGGGCCTGGTGATATCACCTTGCCAGGTTCCTCTTTATGTTTTCTTTGGTGAGAGAAGATGACAGAATCCACAAAAATAATAACCTGGAGCAACAGAAATACACTTCATCTTATCTGTAGAGATGCCAGGTTTCTGCCTCTTCTCAAACCTGAGAGAAACTTAAAAAAACATGGGCAGGAATGAAAAATATTACAGTTTCCAGAATTGCTAAAATGACGTCAGTGAGTTTAACAGCGCAGGAAGTTACTACCACTAGTTTTGGGTGAGTTTTAATTTGGCATTCAAATTTTTAATCCTCAGTGCCGAGGAGATGCCAAATACTGGGGAACAGTAATGAAAACTGCAATCACAGGACCCGAGTTTCATTATAATCTGCTAATTAATATAGCAATGCACAACAAAAACAGGTCAGCGAGAACAGGATTCTAATCAAGTTGGGGCCTGTGTTAAACAGCCAAGAATGCCTTAAACACCAGGGAGAGAAAAATGCCAAGTACCATATTAAAACACTATCTCCCCTGTAAATGTTTCCATTCCAAAAAAATGTTTGCAGCCAACTTTGTGCCAGCATTTTATCTCTTTTCTACATTCATGGAAACCACTGAAGTAATCCAGACTTTAAAAACCCTTGTCCTTACGGAGGGGAGAAATGGCAAAGGCAAATCTCTTATTTTTTAACCATGTAAATTAGGTGGTATTTGGAACACCTTTCCTACCAAAAGACCCAGTACTCTTTTTGAAAAAAAGCAGGATGGTTGTCATCTACTAAGTCAAATAAAAATTGCATCCTTTTCAAATTCACAGATCTTTGGCATGCTATCACTTCTATTTTCCTCATTCTAACAGAAAAAAGTCATAGTTATTCTAACACAAAAATTCAAAAAGAATGATTTTGGATATAGTAATACCACCATTAGACAATTCTTTCCAAATTTTTCTTCTTAGAGTGAAATATTTACTGCAAAGAGGATAGCATAGGTTAGTAACTTGCTCTGTACTAATTGTGAGAAACTTCAACCAGTCATATGATAGGAAAAATATGTTTGCTGTCAGTTGTTAGTGGCGAGCTTTAGGACCATCACTCATGCTGTCCCCAAGGATGGCATCTTGGCATATGAAAAACAGCAGAAGCAGGAAGGTCTCTATGACCTTCCCCACCCTTCTTCCTGGGGAAGAGTTGTGTGAACTTCTCTTGAAGCAGGACACATATCTTCATGTGGGAGAGGACCTCCCTGTACTTGGAGGAAGGGAACATCCTCAACTCTGAAGATGAGGGGGTGAAAAAAAGATTCTGAAGAAAGAGACCTTACTAAGGTTCCCGTTTCTTACTACTAGACCACACCCCCTGGTTCAGTGACTGACAAATTCTTCATTAAACCTGCAGGACAAACACACAGAGTTTGCCTTTTCATCGGATCTGTTTCCTTATAAACGTTTTCATGCCATGAAAAAGTTATTTTAAATAAATGTGTATACGTTTGTTCCTCTTGTCAATTTGTCTTTTTCTATAGAGGTCTTAACCTGGAACCTACAATGGGTGAGGAAAATGTACCATTTTCACACACTCCAATGTGTTTTATGGGTTCTTATTCTTTGATCTATAACACCAATTCTAGAAAAACACTCTAATAAGTCAGTAGAGACAGCACTCCCATTATTTAAACAGCTCGTTATAGTATGTCTTAAAACAGTAGAAACTAGAACAGACTAGATGCTCCCAACTAGAACACACTAAGAAGTAGCTAAGTAACTGTAGGTTTATCACCCAAGTGGAATATTACCCAATTATTACACATTAAAATGATGCATGCCATATATCACTCCACTGCTTTTTTATAAGCTGTGAAGTATACTGTAGCTATAAGAAGAGAAATTGTCTCATGAGTCTAAAATTGTCTCATGAATACACAGGAACGCAAATTAATGAAGCATTCTTCATCAACACATAAACTCTTACCCAGCCAATCCTGGCTTTGCAGAGGCACCCTGCATTCCTGCTGCTGGGGTCTCTGTGGGTCCCCGACAAGCTCTTCTCATCCCCCACCCATCCCGCTGCTGTACTGCTCTCCCTGCACGTACAGTAGGTGCTTCTGTCTATTCCTGATACTCCACACACACCTCTTTGTTTGACACCCGGGTCCAGTCTGATCCCTTTCACAAAGCAGCTCATTACCCTGGAGGGAAATTGCTTTGGATTCTTTTTTTCTTACTGTCATTGCCTGGATTGCTTTGTTTCCCTTTTCTTCTCAGGCAGACTGCAATTCCTCAGACAGAGTTGTTCTTGGCACATGAAATTATTAATAAATATATGATTTTGAATGAGTTAATCAATGAACACAAACTCTTGAGAGCAAGGCCAGTTCTGGTCTGTGCATCTACAACACAAATCATAGTGCTGGGCAAACAGTAGATGATCAATAATTCTTCACTAAACGGAAGGATATGCTCTGCATGGTTTTCTTCTCCATCCCATTTCCACTTCTACGAAGTATCAGATATAGATTTTCATGATTTTTTTTTGAGACAAGGTCTCACTGTGTAGTTCAGGCTGTCCTTGAGCTCGTTATGTAGCCCAGGCTGGCCTTGAACTTGCATCAATCCTCCTGCCTCAGCCTTCTGAGTGCTGAAATTACAAGCATGCGCCACCATGCCTGGCTGAGATACGGATTTTTTTCTAAATGGAAAGTCATCTATGAAGAGAACTTACCCAGGTCAAACTGGCCAGAAATGTAGCCGCAAGTCTGCCGAACTTCCTCACTGTCCCAGCCCAGCGGGTACAGGGCACAGCCAGCACCAATCAACAAGCCTGCAAAGAGATGAGAGGAGACAGCTTAGCGGTGCGCCTCTGCATCCCTGGGTAAAGGGGGATGAGAGGACCAGTATTTCACAATATGACAAAACCGCTGCGCCTGCTCTTTGAAAGCACCAGCCTAACTGCCCGTAAGCAATCTAAGGTCACTTTGATTCTAGGAACAATATCAAATCTGCCTAAAAGAAGAAGAAGGGGAAAAAAACCATGACAGCTCAGTTTGCTTCCAACTTTGCCTTTTCAAAGCATTAAAAAGCCTTGTAAATCCTGTTTAGGAAATACAATCCACAAACTTTAAAGCACTCTTGCTAGTGCATACAAATTCTACCATTAATCTCTGTAAACAAGTAATTCAAAAGCAAAGCAAAGTGCTCGTGGCGTATGTTTTATCATTCATTCTATTTTTTGCCTCCAATTTAAGAATCAAAACAGAATATTTCAGTGTTATCAAACTGTACCAGAGAGAAGGAACATGAAGATTTTCACGAACACTTGAGCGGGCTGAGTGCACCCGTGAACTGTACTGCCTGTTCTACGCTTGGCTGAGAACCACGGAATATCCTCACCTCTCTTGAACACTATGGGAGACAAAGACACACTGTCATCTACATCCTCCTTGCAGCCAAAACCAAAAGATCTGAGCATTACACAGAAGGAAGGGACGGCTTTATTTTAATATAAATTAAGTTATTATCATGGCAGCACGCTGTGCTGACAGCTTTGGATTAGCAAAGCTCCTTTTGCATCAAAGCCTAATACGGTTTTACAAGCACCTCAAAGACGGTTAAACACTCAATATTTGAGTCCATGGGCTAATCTGAAAGTAAGATCTTGTTATGGTAATCAGCTAGCGTCTTCATCACCCTAGTACCACGAATGTGCTGAGGCGATGGGACCCAGGCATACAGCACGAAGGGTGGGAAGGTGGGTTATCAGGTGCTGCAAGGGGAACTCCCAACTGGGAAAACCCATGAACATGGTAAGGTGGAGAAAGGAGGCCAGGGCTCCAAATGCATCTAGCAAACTTCAGTTTATGCACTGAGTCCCTCCGAAGCCCCCTTTGGTCCCACTCTTCATCCCCAGTGAGTGGCTTTAAGCTCAAATAAATTTTTTCTTCCCAGGCGTCTAAGGCCAAGCTGCTTTCTACCACCTCCTTGACCAGCTTTAAGGTATGTAAATCCCTAAGGAGAGATAGTTCCTCTGTCCAACACTCATTTGCTACCTGTCACTCCTCCCCTCAGCCTGTCCCTCAGTTTTCAGGATAATAACCACCTAATGGCCAGTGGTCTCAATCCAAGGGCGAGCCCAGAATCACTAAAACTACAATCACTAATCCCAGGATATCCTATGTGCAATTATATGAATACAAATTGTGTTAAAGCTGAAGAACAATCCAGAAAGCAGTGATATGAGGTTTTGCTGATGAGACAAAAACCCAAGTGGCCATTTCCTGTAGGCTTTTTCCTTAGGGCGAGAAGCCATAGCATTCTGAAAACAATTCCAATCTAGTTTTATCCACCATCAGGCAAAGAGATGATTCCTGAGCACGTCACACTTTGTGTAAATTGAATCTCATGAATGTTTAATAAACAATGTGGCATCATTTCCATGACACTCAGTTCTTAAAAGGTAATACCTGTATTTTTGTGTGTTTATGAGCAAATTGTTTTAAGGATGACAAATGCAGAAAGTATTTGGACAGAAAGTGGTTAAGTGTAAGAAAAAATGAAAAATAGTAACATTTAAACTATAAGTAGTTTTCTTTTTGTCTGACACAAAAACAAATAATTATCTCATTTGCTAATGCTCTTTTTGGTATGGCTGAAAAATGGCATCATTAAGTTACAAACAAACCTCCCTTGGTCCCCTTTATGGTAGAGCTTAGCAGTGCCTGATGCTTACATGGGTAGTAAATTAGCTAGTAAATTAGCCGGTGGTTCTGTAAGTGGCAAGACATTTGACAGTCACAGTTCTTTATAGAATCCCGGACTGTCTTTGTACGACTGTGAAATGTAGATCCAACCATATAAATTAGGGATGATTTTGTATATGGGACATGTGTGCTATGTGTATGAATTAAAGTGCCATGAACATATGTTCACATTTTTAAAAATGTATTTAGTGGTGGGCAGTTAGTTCATCTGAACTTTCATATTAATATTTACTTAGTCTTTGTTTCATCATCTGCTACTGTTTGCTAACATGGAAGATACTCCAGACTCAAAAGTTCTGAGAGAGATTTCCAGGAGAAGAGCATAGACTGCACACCCACCAGGCTAATGGGCTGTCAAAATTATTAAGATCTTTAGGTAAACATCACTGTTACCTGCCTACCACTATTGATTACAGTGGTGAGAGGGAGATTCAGACTCATTTTTTTCCAAATATGGAATAAATGTCTATTAGCAAGTGAGGAGAATCTGATCCTCCTCCAACTCCATCAGGTAGTTATGCAAAACAAGCATTTCACGTGAAATTCTCAGTACATAATAAACAAAACAAAGACCAGACGGGAGGCTTTGGGAATCTTCATGTCAGACTAGGCAAGAATATTTTCCATTAAGTGCCAGGGAAGGTGCAGAGGGAAAACAAGAGTTCTCACAGCACTGTCAGCAGCATTGCAGCTACATGCTGGCATTTAAATTAATCAAAATTAAATAAAACTCAAGAATTCTATTCCTTAGTTACTCTGGCTACTTTTACATATGCAAAAGCTATATGGTGCTAGTGACTACCATACTCAACAAGCACATATACAGATCAGGTTCATAATCACAGAAAGTTCTATTGGAGAGGGCAGGTGGAGATCTAAGACACAGTTCAAAAGGACACTAGGCTTGTCAGGTTTGTATTCTGCGGCTGATATTGCTTGTTAATAATCAAAATCATCCCCGCTGTTTGGGAATCTGGTTCTCTAAGTAGGAATAGAAGCCAGGAAACCATATTCTCTAAACTCTCCTGCTAGCAGTTTTGCATCATACTGTGTCAATGAGAAGATTTCAGAGCATTTAGAAGGTAAGAGAGAGGTAAGGTGCTATTCCTCACTAGCACCTACAGCCACGGGCAAGCTCTTCTGCAGACAGTAGATGTCACTTCCCAGATCTTCCAGTAGGTATGTAAAACTTTAAGTCCCTGGGCTACACCTCTTCCTATTTGAATTTTCTAGAGTGCTGTGTCTTACTGGCCAGACTTTGACTGGTACATGCCCTGTGCATACAAGGGCAGAGAGGTCTCCATATGCATCTTTGTATCCTACCATATTTCTTGAACATGCCCCATATCCTCAATTAAAATTCTCTCCAATACAATTTATGCTAATTTTTGAACCTCTGGGGCAAGTATAAATAATGATATTGGAAGGCTTTGCCTTTAACCATCTCTTCAGTCCCTTACCTCATTAGGGAATTTAATGTGCTAATTAACCTCTCCAGGAGTGCAGGCTTCTAAAGAAGATACTTCAAATGTTAACTAACTGCCATTGGGATGTGGATTGAAGTTAACTAGCATTTTATGGAATACACTGAAGGTATTATATTGTAAAGTAGACGTGACTAAATGTGAAATGAGGATGGTTTTTAATAAAAGAAATGTGTAGTTGTTCAGTTTTAGCAGTGTTAAACTTTAGTTCTTACTGTGGAAATCAATATTAGATGGAAGGAGAGTTTAGAAATCTCTGAGATAGATTCCACTTGGGTTCATACTGAATGCTGAAGTGAGGCTCGCAGAATATTCTAGAATTTGCAGTGACTGTCCAAATGGTATCTAAGTGACTGGACAGGTTTTAATGGCTCTCCTTACTTAACTTAAGACTGGAGAATAAATGGCCCAACCAGAACCTCTAACTCACAAACTTTAGTTTTATTTACAGGGATTCTTTCAATTAGATTTATAAGCCTTGTGGTTACCATGTGGACTTAATTTTAATCAAGTTCCTTTGCCACTACTATGAAAGAGGCAACATTATCACACCTTTTGAATCTATGTGTGTACAGAAGGGGGGTGGAGAACGATGCTGTGAGGGGAAGAGACAACCTGAGGAAGGCGCTAACGAGGTGGATTGCTGGAGAAAGTGTGAAATCCGTCGCAGCAACATGCTCACTTGCGATTAAGAAGAAATCTATTTTTGTAACATTAAAGACCGCAACTTCAGGGTCATAAGTTACTCACAAACTGCCTTTTGCCTGAATCTTTAGTTTTCACCCAGCACTATCACTGAAATCAGCTACCCAGAAGGCATTGCAACGATAAGGCATTAAGTCTTCGGATGTAGAGATGCTACCTTTTGAAAAAAAAGGAAAAAAAAAAATCCAAAGAATGATGCAATACTTTTAAAATTTAAAAGATCCATTTTAACAATGCACTGATGATTAGGCCATTTCATCCTGAGTACTCAGGGTTTGGAGCGCAGTCTGTTCAAGGACATTAAAATATTTTAAGATCCAAGTTAGTGGGATGATCTTTAAGATGCTAATGTTAACGGAAAAAGGTGGACCCTCGAGTGCCATGCAGCAACGCTGTTATGAAAGTCTATTCTTTAGCTCTGCATGAGGGTCGGAATCTTGCCCTGCATACACTCTGTCCACAAACCACCCGGGGGAGTTTCTAGTAGTAGTTCTTCTTAGTTTTCACAAAATGCGACTACTATCCGCCATGATACTAATTATTTCTTAGAAGCTGAGTGTGAAGTCTGAAGTCCTTAAAGAACTGAATGGTCCGAAAACGAATTTGAGGCTGGGAATTTTCCCTTCTGCAAAACTCCTTCTATTCAAACTCAGCACTTAACACTTAGCCAGCGGAATATTAACATAACAATTCGGCTCCTGCCAAGAAGGCAAAACAAACCTCTCGTCCACCAATGCCAATTACTCCCCAAGGTGGTAAGAACAGAGTCCTAATGTTAAACTTATAAAGGCTGATTTTTTCCAGGCTGCCCTTGAAAGTTTTTATGTGATCTCACTTTTTCTTTCCATGACTATTGCTCCATTCTTTTTCCACAG